CCCTATCTGTGCCTCCCATCCCTCCCTCCCCCCATCAACCGAGTCTTGTACAGGGGCTGGCTGGGACCCTTGAGTACACAGCTGCAGCCTCTGGAAGGCATTTACACCCCCAGCTGTGAGAATTTATTGTGGTTCAGGTGGAGGGTGGCTCTGATGATCTCCCCAGGACACACATGAGCTTTTCGCCATTCTCTCTGACGAGGCTGGCCTGCTTGGTCGGGAAGTCCCTGCAGATAAGGCAGTCTGCGGTGACCTGAGAGTTCAGTAGCATAGAGGAAGCTAATCTCCAGCAGTCCCCAGCCACAGAGCAACCATAGAACCTGGCAGGGACCCAAAAGGCTGCGCAGACTCTGACCAGGGATTCTGAGGTCTTGGGCCATTTATACCATGGAGATAACAAAGCTTACTTTTAGGCAAGTTGCTAGGAGGGCCCAAAGTCCCAAACCCTGATCTAAAAAGCCGGAGTACCCCTGGGTGCAAATCCCGGCTCCAAGGCCTGCGGTGTGACCTGGGGCAAGTTGCTTACCTTTACACAATAAAATGTGAAATGCACATGGCGACCTATCTCATTGTTGCAGGAGCACTCTCTCATTTTATCATCTCTAACAGGCTGCGCCTTAAAATCAGCACTGTGTCAGAATGTAACCAGCAGATGGCCTTCTTTTTAGGAATCCATCAAGTAATGGCCTATCGAGCACTAATCATGTCTTAAGTTTGATGAAATACTGACGTATGTACCTCAAAACGACGGTTGAGACTTAGAACAGAACTTGACATAGAATACGCCCTCGGGTGTTGGTGTTGGCTGATCATGACTGACTCTGGCAGGTAAGATCAGTACCTGGTACCTCTGAGCACAGAGACCTGGTGCCACGCCGGGCAGCAAGTCAGTGTCACGTCAGCAGGTGTGGGCCGTGGTGGGCCCAAAGGGGTCTGTCAACTCATGACCAAGATAGAATGAGGCTCTCCCTGCCCTCCCACCAGAATAGAAAGCTGCCTCCAACATCCCGCCCCCAGCCACAGTCAGGAAGCCATCCTGCCAAGGCAGGTGGCTGAAGTGCAGCCTTGAACACTGGGCCACAGCACCTTTCAGGGAGGGTCAGCACTGGCTGCAGTTCTGCTGGTGTCCCACTCAGCCCGCGGCGTCACCTTGCAAGTCTATGCTGAGCTGTGCAACTCACATGCTTCGATTTTCAGAAACGTTCTTAGATCCTGAACCAGAATATATGTGTGTGTGTGTGTGTGTGTGTGTGTGTGTGTGTGTGTGTGTGTGTGGCCGTGGGGGGGGGTAGCGTTTCACCTCAAAAATTACAGCAGAGTCAATGTCCTTGTTTCAACTTTTCCAGTGTTTAACTTGTAACAATAGCTACCAAAGTAATCAGGCAGCAAACAATGTGTTTCTTTAAATGGCTTTCCTGTGAGTGTTCCGTTTACAAAGAAATTCCTAAAACCAGGAAGTAATTGAATTTGGAAGCAGAGAGCAAACTTCGGGGAAGACAGGGGCAGGTGTACCACTGAGGCCTAGATGGCAGCCACTGACTTGCTCTGGAGGGCGGGGGGGCCTGCACCCTGCAGATTAGGGTCTATTCTGACTCAGCAAACTAGGCACGAGCGCCTGTAAAAAGAAACCAGATTGGGCATTACCGGAATTCTCAAAAACTCAAGAGCGCTGGGTGTGCGTCCTCCCCCAGGGAAGCTCAGGCGCACGAGCTTGTCAAATGGCTGGTCTCAGGTTACACAACCAGCACCGCCTCCGCCGCCACCGCCCCCCAACCGCACTGGTCCAAGGCTTCCCCGCTGCCGGGCCTTGCGGGTGGGGGGCGGAGCCGGGGGCGGGACCGAGGCTCGAGGGGGGCTGGGGGCGGAGCCGGGGCGGGGGGTGGAGCCAGGTTGGGGTGGGCAGGGCCAGCGGTCACGTGTGTACACAGGGCCCAGGCGGCGTGCGCACCGTGAGCCCTTGCAGCCTCCTCCAGCCCTAGCTGCCCGTTCGGGGCGACTGCGCGCGGGCCTCCGCCCAGCGAGCCGGTGAGTGGGGCCGGGGAGCCTGGATCGGGTAGGTGGGGTAAATCCCTTCTCTGCCTGTGGAGGGAGCCGGCCGAACTGCTGTGGCTCCCACGGCGGGTGCGCGCTTGCTGGAACTCGGGTTCTCTGGCCGCTGCCCACTGCTGGGCGCCGTGCCCTTGCAGGAAGGGGACCGTTGTCCCCAGGCCGCCCTCCGAGCTGAGCCTTGGGGGCGGGCGTTCGGTCGTTAACCTGGAGATGGCAGCTGAGTCGGCTGCCCGCGTAGGCGGCTTGGCGCAGCCCCTGGCTCTGCCCATGTCCAACAGGGCATACTGCTCCTGCTCTCCTGGACCACTGTGGTGACTGCTTTCGGCCCCGTCTATGATAAGCGTTTTAAAGTGAGGTTTGGAACTGTGTCTACATGGAGATGTCGGATCTGCTGTCAGTTGTCTTGGACAGTTGGCAGGGCATGGGACGGTTCTTTCAAAGCTTCACTGGAAGGCAGTGCTTTCCAGCCGCCAAAACACCACTCTACCAGCAGCAGGCAACCCACTATTAAGCTAATATTACAAACCTGGCAAGTCAGTTATCTAGGCCTAAGACTGCGTGTCTTGATGTGACTGGTCACCATGGCTTATCTCTGCAGGCATGCTATATGGTGGACCTGAGGATAATTCTATATTCGTCATCCAGAGCAGTGGCTGTCATCTTTGATCTCTTCCCTGCTCATGAGAAGGTACTTATTTGGGTCCTCCACTGCACTTTAAATAGCCAGCTCCTGTCCACACGGAACAGCACGACATCTTTTATCTTTTGTTATCTGCAGCATCTAGCAGAGGCCAGCATTCAATAAGAAAGGGGCAAGAGGCTTGCTTTAAAGGCCTCTGCAAATTTGTATGAGTAAAACAGTTCTGACCATGTTCCAAGGCTCCTCATGCATAATGGTGATGAGGTATTTTATCGTCCTAACTGGGGCACCGTTGAGAGTGAACAGAAGTACTATTAATAATTAGACCAAATGCACACCCACAGTACCCATAAACTGCTGTGCAGCTCCGTAAATAACTACTGTAAGGCCCGGCTCCCTAGCCAGAACCCCTGGTATCTTCCTTAAGTGACTTAAAAACATAGTTGATAGTTATTGAATACTATTGTGCCTTCTCACAGAGAAGAGGTTGGGCCCAGAGCAGTGGCGCTCACTGCCCAACGCCACACACATCCGTGCTGACGTCCACGTCACTCTGCCTCTCTAGTGTGCACGGATATAACCTGAGAATGGAGGACAGAGGAATGCAGATGTAGGGCAGAATGTAAATGTGAAGGTTGACTTGGAGTCCCTGCAACTCATAAGCCCCTAGTAGGCTGAGGAAGAGAGAAGGGTGAAGGGCACGAACCTCCTGTGGGTCTTAGGTTAGGGTGTAAAGGCTGATTAGATCTATGATACAATGAATAAATGGCATGGTGCAAAGATGGCTGCGTGGGGGAATATGCTTGTGTAATTGACAGTTGGAAGAGGGTCGTGCTGCCCACTGGGGCAGGGAGAAGGAGCTCCCTGGGGAGCTGTAGCTCTTTCACAGCCCCTAGGATGTCATTTAGAACCCTGAAAAAATAACTGCCACCTGGCCTTTAATGACCCAACCACAGCAAGGCCTTGCCTTTGGGAAGGGAGTGACCACCAGAGAACCCAGCTGACCATGTCATGCACATGACAATCCCATGGTGCTGTTTTTTTTTCTTTTTTTTTTTGAGATGGAGTCTTGCTCTGTTGCCCAGGCTGGAGTGCAGCGGCGTGATCCCGGCTCACTGCAACCTCTGCCTCAACCACTGCAACCTTCTGCCTCAGCCTCCTGAGTAGCTGGGACTACAGGCATGTGCCACCATGCCCAGCTAATTTTTGTATTTTTAGTAGAGATGGAGTTTCACCATATTGACCAGGCTGGTCTTGAACTCCTGACCTTGTGATCCACCCGCCTCAGCCTCCCAAAGTGCTAGGATTACAGGTGTGAGCCACTGCACACGGTGCTGTTTTCTTTTCTTTTTTTTTTTTTCGTTTGGAGACAGTCTTGCTCTGTCGCCAGGCGCCAGGCTGGAGTGCAATGGTGTGATCTCGGCTCACTGCAACCTCTGCCTCCCGGGTTCAAGCGATTCTCTTGCCTCAGCCTCCCAAGTAGCTGGGACTACAGGCGCGTGCCACCACGCCCAACTAATTTTTTAATTTTTATTTTTAGTAGAGACAGGGTTTCACCATGTTGGCCAGGATGGTCTTGATCTCTTGACCTCGTAATCCGCCCGCCTCGGGCTCCCAAAGTAATGGGATAACAGGCTTGAGCCACTGCGCCCGGCCGGCCGGTGATGTTTTCTTTAAACAGTGTTTCCCAGTCATTCCCTCCTGCCTGCTGGCTCCTTGGCTCTCCAGGGCTCTCACTAACCCACCTGCCTAACTGGGCAGCCTGCATCTCTCCAGGGGTCTCAAAAGCTTAGGGCTGCAAGACACCATCCAGGTAGCAAAGAGGAGAGGGGACCCAGTCTGGAGAGTAGAACAGTAACTTTTCTCTGTAATTTGAGATACCAAAATGAGATGTGGCCCAGGAGCAGAAGTCAGTCTCTTAGGAGCGGGCTGTCTACCCAGGAGCTTCTGTGTGCAAACAAAACACCCTGAGAGAAGCAGAGGGACAGGGTGCAGTGGGGCAGGTGTCCTTTGCACCCCCAGAGGCCCACACCTGGGTCCCTTCCTGCACAGGCCAAGGAGTTTCCCATTTTAACTGGAGCCAGAGTGAGCCTTGCAAGCCCCTGCTGCTACCAGAGCTAGTGTGATGAGTAGAAAGAACCAGGAAAGAAGCAAGGTAGTGATAAGATCTGTGGCTCTGAGCACTTCCCGGCAGGTAAGGCCACGCCTAGGAAACAGGGCTTGGTCGGGGAGCCCAGAGCCTGCAGTGGAGACACTGTTCTCGGCCAGGTCCTTGAATTTCTGCAGAAGTGTTTTTTGTTTGTTTCTGTTCTTCCCTGGTCTGGTGTATCTGGAAAGGGAATTAGCCTCAAACCAAGTTAGTCAGTGAACAAAAACCCCAAGTAAACAAAAGAATGCTGTTCCACCTTCCTCCAGGGAACTGGAACCCAGAGCTGTGGGCACAGGTGTCCAGCCTGCTCACTGGCCCAGCGGGTTGCTTGGTCTCAGGGCCCCACAACCCGTCCTGCAGCCACAAACATGATCGCTGTTATCCATGGAGAAAGAGAGGCATTCTCTCTGTTTATCGTCTAAGCCAGGTCACCTGATTCACTCTCACTACTCTGCAGTTTGGAACTGTAAAAAGCAAAAGGCTACAAAAATCAACACCACCCATCTACATAATTAACTATTTCTTATCATAGCCCAGGAAGGCATAGATAGGAATCAGTGTGCGTAAGCTCTCCACATTGAAACTCTATGAAAACAGCAGCCTTTCCTAAGCGTCTGGCTCCTAGGAGCTGGGTGTTAATTGTTGCTGAAGCCTGGGTTCATTATTACAAAAGGAAATAAACATTCCAGAGTCATTTTGAAAGCAACCTGACAGTTCTAGAACATTCGCCCAAAGTTGAGCGTCTCATGGTGCATGGCAGGCCTACTTCAGATAGAAACGACTGGCCAGGGGGCCCCTTAGCCAGGAGCCGAGCCCCGGCCAGGAAAGGACTTTCCACTCCTTGCCCACCATCCTTCCGTGGATGCGATGCCGGGGACTTGCAACTCTATTTCCACTAAAACCCAAGTTTCTAAAGCTTCGATAACTGTCCTGGGACAGTAAGAAGTGCTGGCTGCTTATCCTTTCTACTCAGTGGGGAAATTGGATCCTTCACCTTGGTGGGTCACTCGCCTTGGGGAAAAGCCTTTTACGTCACTGAATACATCTTCTTCTGCGGCCCTCATCCAATAGCCAGGCCGCTGCAGCGCAGATGAAAGCTTCCCCTGCCTTCAGAGTGCTCCGAGTAAGTGGGAAAGAGATGGCTATACGGACAGTCTTAATGCAGCATGACGGGCTGAGGTGTGCGGAGACTGGTCAGGGTGGGTTCCCAAGGGTGCTGATGCCCAAAATAACATGTCCAGGATGAGTTAGTGTTTGCTGAGAGAACGAGGGGAAGCAAGAAAGGGTGTTCTAGGCAAGGGATCAGCATACACCAAATATAGCGTGGAAAAGCAGCCGGAAGCTTCATGGGGTTTCACCAGGCGTGAGACCTGCAGCCCCATCTCTGACAGGGCCCTGAGCAACAGAGGACAGAACTTCCTCAGAGAGACAGGAAAATAAAATGCCATGATGTTAGTGAAACAAATTCAGCCACCTTGGTACAGAGGAGTCCTCCGCTGGCTTCTGTTTCTGCCAGCTCTGTGCAGCGCAGGCGCTATTGCACGCTCTCTCACACACATGTACAGGTACGCGGGTGCCTGAGGGCTGAGGGAGGTGGTCACCGTCTCCATACCCAGTCCCTGTCTGTCTCCAGGCCTGCTGCTTCTGAACCACACGGGGAAGCCCATTTCTATTGGGAAACTCTATCAGTTAGCCGTGGGTTTCAGCTAAGTTCACTTCACTGTTCACAGACATTCATTATTAACAGGCTGCTTGATAGCACTTTGGGCTCTTTTTAAATAAGACATAGGAAGAAAGATGCCAACGCTGCATGTGAAATACTCCTGATAGCCTGATGGGCTCCCGTCACCCATCCACAGCCGCACCCAGGCTCAAGACATTTTCATGGTTATGAACCGAAAAGAACCAAGACCCCTGGAGCAGGTTCTCCTTGCCAATCCATGTTCCTTTGAAAGCGGTGAATATAGGCCAGGGAAGCGAATGTTTCTACTCCAGTTTAGTCCTAGTGAAACATCGGGAAATTCATTGTGTTGGTACCAAAACCCAAACCCAGAACATAAAGACCGTAAAACCCTGTAAAGCCAGCGGTACGCTGCGGTCTGACTGCTGTATGCTTCCTGGGCCTCCCCAGTCTGACCATGCACTCCCTGGGCCTCTGTGATCTGATTGTGCATTCCCTGGGCCTCCACGGTCTGACCGTGCACTCCCCGGGCCTCCGCGGTCTGACTGTGCATTCCCTGGACCTTCACAGTCTGACTGTAAGCTCCCTAGGCCTCCACAGTCTGACCGTGCATTCTCCGAGCCTCCATGGTCTGACTGTAAGCTCCCAGGGCGAGCGATACCCACAGGGTGCATCCTGAGGGCTGTCTCCTCCACATTCACTGGCAGTGTGGGGTGTGACGGGGCCCATATTGTTGTCACCTTGCCCTATCCCATGGTTCTCCTGCAACACGTGTCCGTTCACAAAGATTCTGAGCAAAAGGTCACAGAACAGCTTCCTCTGCCCTTCATATTTGGGAGGAGGCTACAGGTCTGCAGGCATCATCATCCTAGGCCAGGGCTGGTGATGGGGAGTATGCTGGCACCCTCCTGTGCTTCACATGGCTTGGTTCATTTAACCCTCCTGTCTCATGAGGATTTCCTAAGCCTGGGGAAACCCAGGCATAGAGCAAGGAAGTCACCTGCCTGCAAAGGCACCCGTATGCAAGCCAGGACTGGAAAAGCTCAGCATGGAGTGCACATGTTGGCTGCCCACTCCAGAGCCCAGGACCCTGACCACTTCCTTCCCAGGAGGAAGGAGCGCAAGGGGAGTTTCTTAATAGTGTTTTATGCTAGCTCCTACTGCCACCCGCCACTAGCCCAGGCCCCTGCAGAGGGCAGGGCGTGGACCTTCCTACAAGCAGGCTTATTACAAAGCCCCATCTAACATTCCCTCACGTCAGGTAGGAGGACTTAGGCCAGAGGTCAAGGCAGTGTCTAGAATCAGTGCTGCTTTCTCAATGTAGGAAAACAGTTTTAGGACTGTTTTTGGTATAATTTTGGGCCCCACTGTACTGAATTCTATGACAAAGAAGCCACCAAGGTATCCGTGCAAGCTCTCGGCAGGGACAGCTGAAACTGTACACCTGGGCCCTCCCGATTCCCTCCCACCAGCCAGGCCTGGCAGTAGCCACCAGCCACCCCAACAGTTAAGGAGAGCTGCCCCACACTGTCAACTACCAAAGCTCAGGACACACAGGGCCTTCTCAGTCTCTCTGGCTGGCCAGGCCTCAGCAAGGATCCCCCGGTGGGCCCCACTCTGAACCGCAAGCACAGAGTCTAATGCAGTGAGGGACCTGCCGTTAGCACAGGGCTGCAGGCTCGGGCTGTGCAAGGGCACAAGGACAGAAACCGCTGGGCAGCCTGTCCTTCCCCAGCCTGCCTGCACCCCCTGTGGCCAGGGACTTCTCAGGTACAGTGGCTCAGGGTCATAGGCCATCCGTCTATCAGGGGCTCTCCAGGGAGCTGGATGCATTCAGGGGCTGTGGTTTAGGTCAGTGACAGAACAGATCCCCAGGGCATTTGCTCAGGCTCAGAGCAGGGCAGGGAGCCGTCCACCTGCATCAGGCGTATCCGTGGACTTCCAAGTCTACAAGGACAGGTGACCGGGCAGGCTGCCCAAGCCAACCAGGGATCCTGTCCCATCAGTCCCTGTGGCCTTGGAGTCCAACATTCTTTGGTTTTCCTTTCTCAAGCTGCCCCAGCTTCTCCAAGCCCTGAGCCTGGGACACCCGTTCTGAGCTGATGCCCTGCAAGCAGTGTCCCTGCTCTCCGGTGCAGGTGGATGGATACAAGAGAGCCTGCAAGGAAGTGTGCCAGCCCAGCAGCCTCCCTGGGCTTGGAACGCTGCAGCCCAGGATGCATCTTCCTGGGACATCACAGTCGGAGCCCAGCACGGGGTCTTGGAAGAAAAGACCCCACCTTCTATCCTCAAGAACACGAATTAGGAGAGTTCAGTGGATGACACAGAGGCCCAGCTGAGGACCCAGGGAGGGGCAGTTGGGAAACAGCCTCATCCACAGGCGCTCGGCAGGGACTGGGAACCCAGAAGGCCTGCCACTCAGGGGATCTCGGAGAAACTCCACACCTGTCTGTCCCAGGCTTTTGCTTAGCTGGGTCTCACCCTAGCCTGCTGGAGATGGTGGCCGTGCCATTAGAGACGGTGATGGGCAGATTGGCTGAAGTCACCCCACAGGCCAGCAGCAGAGGCCTAGGAGGGAGGGGGCAGCCTCACAGATGGCTGCTTATGGGGCCCAGAGGCCCAGGCCCCTTCCCATCATGCAGAGAAGCTCCTGTCCCCAGAACATGGGGTACCAGCCTCCCATCAACACTGGGTCCTGACCCCGGCCCGCTCAGGATTGCTTGTGGAAATGTCACTTCTACCCCAGCCCTCTGGGGTGCACCTGGCATCCAGCTCTGTCCTCTTCAGTTTAAACAGTGGCTGGGAGACCCTGAGCCAGGCAGGCCGAGGTTCTGAGCTCGTGAGGGTACAGCAATTCCCCACACAGCGTGGGGGGCACATCTGCTCACGTCTCCCAGGCTGGCTGTACACTCTGAGGCCAGCTCTGGGCTCTGACATCCTCCCCGCTTCTGCTGGCCTATTCCCTCCCCTGCTGGCCTTCTATCCCCTCCTCTCCTGTCCACTGCTGGCCCATGGTCTGGGACCAGCCTTGAAGCTGGAAAGACGTCTCACCCTGTCCAAATGAGACTGGTCAGGTACCTCCTGCAAGTCAACCACCTCTAGATTGGGAAGAAGGGGCGGTAGGTGCAAGGCTGGCCCTTTTTATGAGAGTAATTTAAAAAACAAAATAGGCCAGGCACAGTGGCTCACACCTGTAATCCGAGCATTTTGGGAGCCTGAGGCAGGAGGGTCACTTGAGCCCTGGAGTTTCAGACCAGCCTGGGCAACATAGTGAGATCCTGTCTCAAAAAATGTTGTATGAAAAAAATCAGCCAGCTGTAGCGGCACACACCTGTAGCCCCAGCTACTTGGGAGGCTGAGATGGGAGAATTGCGTGAGCCCAGGAGGCAGAAGCTGCAGTGAGCTATGAGTGTACCGCTGCACTCTAGCTTGGGCGACTAAGAGAGAGCCTGGCTCCAAAAAAACTAAACTAAACAACAACAACAAAAAAAAACAGAAGGAGGGGATAGATGAGTTGCATTTGTGTCATTAATGAATTCTCTTATAGGGAAAATAAAATGATTGAAACTGGGCCGTCTTGGACAGCCAAGGCCCAGGCAGGGCCAGCTCCTTTCACCTTCCCAGTCAAGATGCTGCCTGCAGCCCCTCCCATCCTGGCCCGAGACGTGTCCCTGTCCCTAAGAGGCCCTGAGGGCTGCTCCAGGCTGAGTGCATGAGGAGCCTCTGAGCAGGAGCCTGAATCAAGGCGTGCCCTCTTGAGAGGCGAGGCTGACTCCAGCATCCAGCTTGGCTGGGGACGCTCGCTTGGGAATGAGCTGGTTCTGGGTGCCTGCCTCGGGGAGGGCCTTGGGGCTGCTCATGCTGGCACCAACGTGGGCCTGGGGCAGGACCTGCATATGGGTGCCAGGTCCTGAGGAGTTGTGGGGGAGAGTTTCGGGAGGAGAGGCTGGTGGTGGCAAGAACGGGAGGCAGGTGGTCGAACCAGCAGTGTGGCTTTGGAGGTGCTGGAGGAGCAGGGCCTGGAGGAGCGGGTGGGGAGCCAGGAAGGAGCAGCTGCCAGGACAGGCTGGCCTGGGAGGGTGGCCAGGAGCTGCGGGAGAAGCTGGTGGTCTCTCATTGCAAGGGTGGGGCTGGCCTGGAGGAGAGGCCCATGGGGTCCCTGTTGGCTGAGCGTGCAGTGGCAGTCCCCGGAAGCTGAGTATCAGCCCTGCCACTGAGCAGGCAGTGCTCAGAGAGAAACGGGTGACAGGAGGGCATGTGCCAGCCAGCTTTGCACCTTGAACCCAGCCCAGGAGGGACCCGCAGCACAGGGGTGGGGGACAGGTGGCCATTCTCTGTTGTCTCTCCTGCCTTCTGAGGAGGGTGCTTCTGGAATCTTCCATCACTGCGATAAACTCAGGCTTTTACGTAGGCCCACTTCTGACAAGGCTCATCTGGGCTTTCTACCCCAGACTCTAAGTCTCCCACCACCTGGCTCCCAGTTCCTCTTTCCCATGGAGGAAGTCAGCAGAGTGTGTGGCTGACGGGAAAAACAGCACAGCGGGCCTGCCCAGCGGGGGGAGAAGCTGGGCCATTGTTCTTCAGTTCCAGGATGCCCCGCTTCCCCAAACAGTCTGGCAGTGGGAACAGGAAGTCTCTGGGCACATAGGCAAGCGGGGGGGGGGGGGGGGCGGGTGCACAGAGGCAAGCAGGGGGCATAGAGGCAAACGGGGCACACAGAGGCAAGCGGGGGACCATGAACAGGCAAGGAGTGCGAGGCTCCACCCGCCCGGGCAAGGCCAGGCTCCCACAGAACCCTGCTGTGGCCAGGCAAGTGCATGGGGCCAGGCCATCCCCCTCACTCAGATGCAGGGGCAGTGAAGGTGGGGCAAGAGCATGCAGGGTAGTGCCCAGAACCCTGGGCAGGACAGGGCCCCTGCCAGAGTGCCCAGAACAGCTCAGTGACAGGGAGCTGGCCTGGCTGCGAGGGCTGGGCATGCGTCACGAGTCACCTGTGACCAGGAGAGGCAGGAACACTGGCTCACATGACTTGCTGGGCCCTGGCACACTGTGGTTCTGGGGGCACCGCCTGCTGCTCCCAGCCTTCAAAACCTGCACCTCATGCTCACTCCTCTGGGAGCCGTGGCTAGGAACCCACAGGTTCTCAAACCGGCTCCCACAGGCACTCCCAGGGACCCCTGTTCCTACCATGAGCCTGGCCAGAGAGGAGGCAGGCCACAGAGCCACGTTCCCCAGGAGCCCCTCCAGAGAGGAGGCGGGCCACAGAGACTCATCCACCCAGCGTGACCAAGGAGAGAGTTTCCTCAGACTCTTCCTTCTATGCCTCTCAGCGCAGCTCCTGACACAGGCAGGAGCCTGACCTCCTTGGCTCTAGGAATGCCCGCCCCCAGTTGGCTTCCCTCCGAAGATCTCTAGGTAATGCCTGGTAAAAAGAGGGCCCTGGGGAGAATGTTGGGGCAAACAGGCAAAGCGTGTCACCTTCCAACCGATGGAAAGGGAAGGAAAACAGGTGCTGCTCAGCTCATAACCTTCCTTGGAAACAGAAATTATCTTTGTGGTTGATACCTAGTGAACTGCACAGAGAACAACCTGCAGCTTTGAAGTATATAAATCCTTCAGTATCTGTCAGCTGCCAGTAAATAAAAATGCACTCAGGAGAACTTTCCACCTGACCCCACCCAAGAGCCCAGCTGGCGTTTCCAGGTCCCGGCTGGGGTGAGAGCAGGCACTGGAGAGCGGCTCAGATGGTGAGCGGGACGCACGTGAGCGCATGGAGGAAATGCCAGCAGCTCCCGCTCCACGTGACACCCTCCCAAGAATTGAGCCATTCTCAGCTCGGCAGATGCTGGATGCTGGCCGCTTCCCTCCGGCTCGGCTGACGGAGGGGCAGGCATTAGCAATCCAGGCAGCTTCTCTCGGACTCCCCGAGAGGAGGGGGCGTGGCGGGCCACAGGCTGGCCTGCGTGGTTCCACCTGCAGGAGAGCTCCGCAGAGGCATCCCTTGCAGGAGGCTCATGATTGGGGCCGGCTCAACTTCTCTCCAGCCGTGCCATATCCCATCTGTGCACAGACATGCTGGATGCACGCGCTCCCATCTCTGCTTCCGATCTGAGCCTGCCCTCCACCTCCGCTGTGCCTCTGGGAACCTCTGTGTTCTGTGGGCTGTGAGTGCAGCCCGGCCTTTGCTCTACAGTAGACCCTTCATTGATTTTCTCCGGGAAAAAAAGAGCTTGTAACCAATGTCTCCGGCACACTGAGCACCAGGGGCAGCTGCCTGCACCTGGACAAGTCTCGGCCTGACCTGCCCCTGGGCACTCGGTGGGACAGCCTGCAGGGATGCAGACAGGGACCTGCAGGGAGAGGCCACGGCCCCCAGGAGCTGGGCTGTCAGAAAGGTGGGGCCAGAGGCCAGCTGTGCTCAGTTCAGCCCCTTGTTTCTGGAACCCAGCAGTAAACAGCAGGAGGGAGGGGCGGCGGTGCCTGCCAAGGGAGGCAGAGGCCCTTCGGGGAACTCAGGAAAACAAGTGCTCGCATCCTGGGGCCCTGGCTTGCACGCACGCGCAGGAGGCCAGGCGCACTGCTGATAAGAGCCGCGGGTTTGCCGAGAAGTGCGGCAGCCCAGGTCTCACCAGAGCTTGGTGGCCGCCTCCGTCCCACCATGCTGCTCTCGAACAGTGGCCAGGACCCACAGCGCCAAGAAGCATGGGCCACCAAGTAAAGGTGAGAGCCTGAGAGGGGATGCGGGGGGCTCTGTGCAGCACCACCGGCTGGCATCTCTAAGTGGCGAGTGAAGGGATGCCCAGATGGAGCACACTGAAGAGTCCCAGCCCTTGGCAAGCTCTGCGGGGTGAAGGCAGCCGGCTGGGCTGCGCCCTCTTGTCGGTAGTTGGAGGCGGCACATGGCGAGAAGGTCCTTTTGCTCCGATCTTTTCACCACAGACCCTGGACAGATCCAGGGGCCCTGGGTGCCCTGTGAGGCCAGGCCAGGATACTGACACCCAGCTCAATGGCTGCTATTTACTGAGGACTCAAGTGGCTTCTGGGGGGTGATGCCCCCAAACTGGGCTCCCACTCAGCCCTGTGACAGCTAAAGCCATGCAGCCTCCAAGGCAGGAGCAGGGTAAGGGGGACCATACATCCCAAGACCCCTGTCCTCTGGACCCTGGTACAGCAGGAGGGGAGAAGGCCGAAGAGGCCTGGACGCCCTCGGCTGCTGTGCTGGGAGCAGGTGCATCCTATCTGGAGCTTGTGCTGGCCTGGCGAGCGGAGCCCAGGTGGTTCTGGTCAAGATGTGTTAGTGAGGGGCTGGGGCCGGGGGTTCAGGACCTGGGAGTGCTTGGCGGCACTGTGGCTGGGCACACCCGGCAGTGGCCTTGCTCTGCATGCCTGTCACCACCTGATCCTCACTGTAGGCTGCTGGGCATCATTTGTCAGGATTGCACAATGACCCACAACTCCCGTCCTGCCCGCCTGCATCCGGATGGGAATTCCCACATCATCCGCCCACCCATCTGCTGGCTGCCTACATGCCTGGCCCTGGGGCTGCATCACCTGCTACAGGGTGCACACTGCTGCTGGCACTGGGGGCCTCAGACCCCGGCCCCTCTGTGCTCTTCTCCTCCCAAGCTTCCTGTTCCTGTCCTGCTGTGGCCCTGTGGGTCTTGTGGTGGCAGGACTTGGATGGCGAGTGAGGACCCGCTCTCATAGCCACGGCTCCCAAATCCGGCCTCCATGCCACTCCTGTCTTTGGGCACAGAACGCCGCTGTCTGCCCATCTGCCTGAGATGCTTTCTACTCCACTCTGAGAGCAGGAGGTCAGCCAGGGCCAAACTATGTGCTAGATATCAGGTTTCCCGAGATAGCTACAGGTCCCCGAGGAATACCTATGCTTTGGAGGGGAGGGAATTCTTTCTCTATGATGGCTCCATCTGCCAGGTTCTCATTCAGTGATGTCAAGACCAGCTGTGTCCTTGAGCCTTCTGTGGGCTTTGACCCACAGGCCACTCTCCCTGGAACCCAGGCTCTGCGAGGACTCCAAGGTGCCAGGTCCTGGGCTGCTGGAAGGGAGGGAGGCCTGGGGCTGACCATGCACACTGCCTGCCCCTCACGGCGCTGGCAGGATCCGAACACCCACAGGCACCTGATAAACTTTGGGAATCACCACATAGGGCCCGTCCAACAAAGTCAGGACGACCATACAGGCCTCATAGCAGCCCACGGAGAGTGGGCTCTGAGCCTGTGGGCTGTGCCAGGCTCCCTCTCTGGTCCCCATCCCCAGCCATTGAAGTGAGTGCAGCCACAGAACCCCTGGTCAGGACCTGAGGTGGCCATTTTTCAGTGGTCACCTTCATTTTTACAGAAATGTACCTGAGGCAGCCTCGCTGTAGTCTCCAGGGTTCCTGTGCCAGGAGAAGGCGCCCCTGCACCTGTAGTACTTCTGGGCCAGGGCCCTGGGAGGGGACATGTGCTGACCTCTTGTTACGTCTTTCCGCAGGGTTGTGGAGTCCTGCCGGCTGCCATGTGGGGCTGCAGCTGGCTCAATGGCACAGGACTGGTGGAGGAGCTGCCTGCCTGCCAGGACCTGCAGCTGGTGCTGCTGGTGCTGTCACTGCTGGGCTTGCTAGTGGGTGTACCGGTGGGCCTGTGCTACAACGCTCTGCTGGTGCTGGCCAACCTTCACAGCAAGGCCAGCATGACCATGCCGGATGTGTACTTCGTCAACATGGCAGTGGCAGGGCTGGTGCTCAGCGCCCTCGCCCCCGTGCACCTGCTGAGCCCCCTGAGCTCCCGGCAAGTGTGCCAGGACTCCCAGTGGCCACTGTGGAGTGTGGGGAGCGAGGTCCATGTGGCACTCCAGATCCCCTTCAATGTGTCCTCGCTAGTGGCCATGTACTCCACCGCCCTGCTGAGTCTCGACCACTACATTGAGCGTGCGCTGCCGCGGACCTACATGGCCAGTGTATACAACACGAGGCACGTGTGCGGCTTTGTGTGGGGCGGAGCGCTGCTGACCAGCTTCTCTTCGCTGCTCTTCTACATCTGCAGCCACATATCTGCCCGTGCACTGGAGTGCACCAAGATGCAGAACGCTGAGGCTGCTGACGCCATGCTGGTGTTCATCGGCTATGCGGTACCGGCGCTGGCTGCCCTCTACGCGCTGGTGCTGCTCTCCCGCGTCCGCAGGGAAGACACGCCCCTGGACCGGGACGAGGGCCGGCTGGAGCCCTCAGCACACAGGCTGCTGGTGGCCACTGTGTGCACGCAGTTTGGGCTCTGGACACCGCACTACCTGACCCTGCTGGGGTGCACGGTCTTTGTCTCGCGAGGGAAGCCTGTGGATGCCCACTACCTGGGGCTGGTGGACTTTGCAAAGGATGTGTCCAAACTCCTGGCCTTCTGCAGCAGCTTTGTGACGCCGCTTCTCTACCGCTACATGAACCAGAGCTTCCCTGGCAAGCTCCGGCGGCTGATGAAGAAGCTGCCTTGGGGGAACCGGCACTGCTCCCCGGACCATGTGGGGGTGCAGCAGGTGCTGGCCTAGGTGGCCCAGCCCTCCCATGTGCGGATGCAGCAGACGCTGGCCTAGGCGGCTGGCCCTCCCACATGGGGGTGCAGCAGGTACTGACTTAGGCGGCCAAGCCCAGCCTTCCCACATGGGGTGCAGCAGGCGCGGACATAGGCCCAGCCCTTCCATGTGGGGCTGTGGCAGGCAGTGATGTAGGTGGCCCAGCCCTCCAACATGGGGGTGCAGCAGGTGCTGCCACCTAATGGCCCAGCCCTCCCACACAGGAACGCAGCAGGCGGTGACATAGGCCCAGCCCTCTCACGTGGGGTGCAACAGGTGATGATGTAGGCAGCCCGGCCCTCCCACGCGGGGGTGCAGCAGGTGCTAGTGCAGGTGGCCCAGCCCTCCCACGTGGGAATGCAGCAGATGCTGATGTAGGCCTAGCCTTCCCGGGAGGAGGTGGCTCTGGAGGACGCAGAGCACTTTGCTACCCTGGACGGCCCCTGCGTCCTTCCCAGAAGATGAGCTGCTACAAGAGAAATATGAAAGGTGTTTCTCTTGCACTTTTATTTTTCCCACAAAGGCCACTCTTGGGCCAAGGCCGTGCTGTCCCCAGTGGCTGGCGCCTGGCGTGAGTCTCCCCGAGGCCTGTGCGTCTCCTGAACACATGGCGCAAGGTCCACATCTGCAAAAGCCTCCTCGCTTTCAGCCCCCACAGAATTCAGTTTGTCAATGAAGTGATGAAAGCCTAGAGCCAGTATTTATACTTTGCGGTCAAAACACTTGGTTGCCCCTCATTTGTTTTATAAAAAGAGATGTTTTCTAGAAAAATGACAAGTATGAAAATGAAGGAAACCCCATGAAAGAATGCCAGCAGACCAGGGTGACTTGCCCCTACCAGTGGGCGGCATGGTGCTGGCTGGGCCTGCCAGGTGTGCCGCGGTTACCACAGGATTCTGAGAATATTTCACAGAAGTGCCTGAGACGTGCGAGACGCGGCTGGTGTTAAACAAAGCCACCCAGTAGCAGTGACGTGCTCTCCCCAGCCACCACGTGTCCCTGACACCCTCTCCAGACCCCACAGATAACATCAGCTGAGGTTTTCTCAGTATGAATCTGTCCTTCTAAATCAACTTCCCAAAGTGTGCACAAAACTAAAGAAAATGAAAGAAAGGTGTGTTAGGGTTTCTGGCTGAATACCAGAGCTGACGGGTCCCCCCACTGCAGGGGACAGAGGGCCGGAGGCTGTGTGGCATGGGGTCTGGCGGGAGGGACAGGAAAGAACCTGAGGCCAGCTCCCAAAGCGCCTGGGAGCAGCATCTGCATCTCTGCGGCCCTTGCAGCCTCAGCTAGGGCCCAGACCGGCCTGTTTCGCTTGGGTGCATGGGTCCGTAGTCAGGGGCCATCGTCCCTCATCAACCTCACTCGAGACCTTCCACCCACTGGTGTTCTGTAAATCATCTACTTTAAAATGTGGCCATGAGAAAAGACCCCATTCCTCCACACCATCTGTTCGCCTCTACACGATTTTCTAGGATTAAATTACAGGCCCACAATCCCCTATCCCCAATTCTAAAACCCAGAAAGCTCTGAAAACAGCAAGATCTTCCCCAAAGTCTGCAGCAAATTCACGTGGCAGCGATCCCTGACCGGAAGAGATGTGAGGGCTGCATGTCCACGTGGACCCCACCCTTCTGGAGAAAGGTCGGCGTGGCTGTGGGGGCTGCCCCATGCTCCGGTGTTCTGTGGACACCCCAGGCACACTTCCTCCCCACAGCCTGAGCCCGCTGGAATTCTGAGTACGCCCGGCCCCAGGGACAGTGGGCCGGGAGGTGCAGCTTGCCGCCATCGACGTGGGGACATCACGCTCTGGTCCCAGTCTCCTGGGACTTCAGCCGTGAGGTCACTGGCATTATATATCGTGTGCTGCGAGTGGGTCAGAGTCGGCCTGGTGAGGACGTGTGGCTGCAGGCGACTCCTGCTGGGACTGAGACTCTCAGGACAGACTCCTAAGCTGCAGGATCAGAAAAGAGTTTTCTGAGCTGCTTTCGTCAGTGTTTTCTTTCAGATGTGTCAGGATCACATGTGGATCTTTAAAGCTGCAGGCCTGACCTCCTTCCCACTCCCTCTGGAGCCGGAGCGGGTGGAAGGGCCTCATCTCTGATGGTCCCGGGCTTCCCATCTCCATACCTGTGTGGAAACCCTGGCATCCAATGAGGAAACGGTCACACCACCCCGCAGAACCCTGCCCGGTGGCTGGCGCCGAGTCACCCCAACCCTCCTCCCTGTGCAGCCTGGCTCTGCAGGGTGGGGTGTCTGTGTGTGAACCAGGAGACCCCCTTCCTGTTGGATATGCTCCAGCCCTCTTGGCTCCAGGCTGAGCTCCTGGGAGAGGGGCAGACCCCACAGCACAGGTGAGGGTGGTGCCGGGCTGCATCTGCTGGGGAATTACCCCATCCAACCGGTCCTCCCCAAAGGCGGAAGGGGCCTAAAATCACTTTATTGAAATTTATTGGTAGCTCTGGGTGCAAAATGGCTCATTTCTGCGGGTCTGTTGGGGAGCCTGGCCTGCACTCAATACCCCTGTTGGGTGGTCAGGTGGAGAGGCCCCGGGGACACCCCACAGCCTGGTCAGCTTTTCCTGGTGGGCCACACACAGGGCAGGCACATGACTCCAGTGCAGACCCCCGCCTGCTACCTGAGACCCTTTGCTACACATGGCCTCCCCTTACCCTTACCCAGCCAGTCCCCTCCTCATCCCCAGACCCCACCAGCCTCTGCCGCCTGAGACCCTCCACTGTGCACTGAGGCCTCCATCCGCATCCCCAGACCCTGCCAGCCTCTGTGGCTGCTTCCCAGGATCTGTGTTGCTGATGTTTCCTGAGACATCTGCTTGCCTATATTCTGTGCTGCCTTCGTCTGGGAAGATTCAGTGCCTCCTGTGCCTCCTGCCTACTGAGTGATTCCCAAGGCCTTCACCTCAACACACACAGGACACAAGAACTTAAGCCACCTGGGGGAGAAAAAGGTGTTACTTGTAAAAAGCCACGTAGCTGTCTGCCCAACTCCCTAATTCTTCCCACATCTGTGAGACACCAGGACGCGAGTTTTTCAGTGTTTGACGTCCCAGAATCAGTAATGTTGCTACCAACACTTCTTGACTACTATAGTTAACATAATTCATCTTATTTTTGTTTATCTACAAAAAAGCCCTACTGTGCTTCATTACATAAGATTTCAGGAAAGGAGTTTAGTCATGAATTCGCTTCGTTGAAGGTGTGAGAGTTGTTGCAGGAGGCTGGATCTATTGTAAGTTGTGGCAGAGAGATTAGGAAATCTACACACATCTTTTATACACAGCACACGACAGAAGGAAACCAGGAATAGACTGAGGGTTATGCTGCATGTTGAGGCCTCGACCCCAGGGAGATGTGGGCACCCTCTGACCGCTCAGCAGCTCAGTCCTTCCCCATGGCCGCACCTGTTTGCCTGAAGATCCGTGAATATGAAAAGGAAGAAACTGTAGACTATTAAATTATTTGATACTTACTAGTCAACTTCAAAATTCTTACAATGTGTTTTTCTGCAGATGTGTGATGTACATCAGAAAACCAACAGAGATGGGTGAGGTGGCTCACGTCTGTGGTCCCATCACTTTGGGAGACTGAGGCGAGAGAATGGCTTGAACCCAGGAGGTTGAGGTTGCAGTGAGCTGTGATTGTGTCACTGCACTCCAGCCTGGGCAATAGGGTGAGACCCCGTCCCCCACAAAATGAAAGAAAACAGCACAGAAAGTACCATAAAATTGGTTATTTCCCCTCAAATTATATGTCTTAATACTTAAGTTATTCCTCCGTAGATCCTCTTTGCAGAAATTCTGTCCACCCAATCACCCAGGAGTGGTTCCACTCCACACACACCCAGCAGGCGAACTGCATCTCCACACGTCTCAAACAGTAGAGGAGGAAGTGCGTCAGCTGCGCGCAAGAAGAGTCAGCCAGGCGGGCAGAAGAAAAAGGCCTGACCACTCAGAGGCGTTCCTCCTCCCAGAATAAAAAGAATCAAATCACTGTTGATGACACCCCTGAGGGCTTCTGTGGCCCTGAGGACAAAACGGAGAGTTGTGGGGTGCCCTGTGGCCTCCCGAGGCTTCCGGCAGAGATAAGAGCCCACAATCTTGGTGGCACATGGCCCACCTGGCAACAGCTGTCAGTTTGGGAAGTGAAGAAAGACCACAGAGAGTATCTAGGGAGGAAGCATAATGTGAACATGCCCATTACACAACAATCGGAACCCTAACCCTAACCACCCTATCCCTAACCCTAACCACCCTATCTCTATCCCTATCCCTAACCCTAACCATTCTAACCCTAACCCTAAACACCCTATCCCTAACCACCCTATCCCTAGCCCTAACCACCCTAACCCTAACCCTAACCCATAGAGAATCGCTCTGGGCCTGCCTGGCTTTGCTGAGCCGGAGCGTGTGAGCGCACCTGACCCGCCCCCTCCGTTCTCTCTGGGCTCCTCCATCCTGTGTCTGCTGGCATAACTCACAGAACCATGCCCTATCCTGCTCAACCACCTCGACTTGCTAAGGGACCACAAAATGAACACAGTCCTGACGCTGCCAGCTGAGCGCGGGTGCATCTGCGGTTTTCACGAGATGTTCTCCCCAGGCAGCAAAGCTCTGGGTGCAGACAGGAGGTGTCCTGAGGCCAGAACAAGGATTGGGCAGGGGCTGGCGGCTGGCTTTCCCTCTGCTCATCGGTGGCCTCGGCTCTCTTCCTCACTCTGCGACTGATTGCATGCTCCGGAGAAACGGGCTTCCTGTGCTGCTCCTGGGGTGTACGTCACTTTCCCACGTCCCACATCCTATGGGTTCCGGGTCACAATTCATTCGTGCACTCTGCTGCTGAACGTGGGGGCTGTTTCCAACTTTAGGCGTTCATGCAGGGAGTGGCGGTGAGCAGTTCTGCTGTGTCTCCCACCGCCCACCACATGCCCCTGCGTGGGGGACTCCTGGGGCAGACATAGCCTCGGCCGTTCCCTTGCATCTGCCCTGAGGGTTGTTGAACATCCTGCAGAAAAGAACCAGGTGCTGCCATAGTCACCACAGGACACTTTCTGTAGAGTACCTTGGGGCATAAGGGTTCTTCCCAGCACCAGTCTAAGAAACAATAAAGCCCGAGGCAGGAGGAATCACAGCCCCATCCTGTTCTAGGGGCCATGGCACCCCTTGGGGCCCCTCTTCCTGCCCAGCTCCAGGCAACTGGCATACACTAAGTGTGCAGCTGAGCCGGTGAGAGGAGGGCAAAACCTACCCCACCTCCGAAATTAAGCACAGTTAACATCTATTCTCACTGTCCCAGTTCCAGACATTTACCCAAGAAAAATGGGAACCAAAGTCCACACAAACAACTGTACACAATGTTCACTGCAGCCCCACACTGGAGCAACCCAACTGCACGGCAACAGGTGGACAGATAAACAGATGGGGCCTGTGCATTGGAGGAATGCTGCTCGTCAGTGAAAAGGACTGACTGGGGACATGTGGGGCAACACAGGCCAACCGGGGACACACACGGTAACACGGGCGAACCGGGTACACGCACAACAACATGGGCTGAATGGGGAACACACACAACAACATGGTTCGACTAGGGGGAACACAACAACACGAGCCAACCGGGGACACGCACAACACCACGGGCCGACCGGGGACACGCACACAACACCACAGGCCGACTGGGGAACACACACAACAACATGGTTCAACTGGGGGGAACACACACAACACAAGCCAACCGGGGACACACAACAACATGTGCCGACCAGGGACACACACAACAACATGGGCCAACCGGGGACACGCACATCATGTGCCGACTGGGGACACACAATCACACGGGTGAACCTCGGAAACACGAAGCTGCACAGGATACTCGAGCAGGGAACCCACCTCACCAGAGGTCTGGGTCTGGGAGGGAGTGGCCCATGGAGGGGTGAGGAGACTTTGGGAGCGATGGAGGTGGTCGCCCTGCTGGGGCAATGGCAACACAGTCAACTGCGCCTGTCAGAGTGCCAGGGTGGTCATGGAGATGTGTGAGCTTCCCCAGTGCAGATCGGGGCTCAGTATCTCATGGAGAAGGGGCAGGGATATTGAAAACACCCAGGCAGAGGCTCTCTTCAGGACATGCTGTAAGATTGAAAATGCAGGGAGCTTTTAACACTGTGATCCCAAGGCAGTTCCAGGGCCGTCGGCGGCTTCCAGCCAGCCTCAAACTCAGGCTCGGTTCTGGAGCTCCCTCCAGTGGCCATCGGTGGGGGTGGCACTTTCAGGGCCGAGCAGCACAACACTGGGAGAGCGAGAGCCCCGTAGAGGAGCCAGCCAGCTGGACCAGAGGAAGCTTCTCGAAAGGTGGGATGAGGCAGACACAACTCGGTCAGTTCCTGCCACGGCTTTTGCTGGCAGCCAGTGGCTGAAGGACAAGGAGAGCGTGCCGTTCCGTTCCCGAACAAGCCCCACGGCACTGCGGGATCTCCGCCCAGAAAGCCCACCCTCCCCCAATATTTCCCCAGGCCCACAGAAGGAAATGGAAAAACTGCCCATGATCACGCATGCAGCAACGGTGCAGCCACAGGTGTCTGTGCATCCGGCAGGGCCCCTACGGGACCCCCACGCCGCCTGACGCTGCCTAGCAGATTTGGGGCCAGTCCAATTGGGGCCCATCTTAGCCGGCAGATGCCAGCTCCGTGCCATGCCGAGGGACAGGGGAGGAGAGGACACTGCCTGTTTTCAGGCGGTGGGGAGAGGCCCTGCTCTATAGCCCTTCCCGCCCCCACAAACTGTCCCAGCAGAAGGAACCCATCCCTGGCCATTCCTTATAGCAAGTTGTGAAGTCCAGGACCAGACCGCAACGTGGACAAAGCTGGAGGAGGGAGGGGGCTGGGAGGGTTCTACCTGCCCTTCTGTGTCTGTCCACAGGATGCCAAGAGGCTCCTAGACCACCAGCCCCCCAGACCCTTGGTACTGTGTCCCCAAGCTGTTGGCCAGGGGCCTGCTGAGGAAGATGATGCCCATCCCTAAGCCTGAGCCTCCAGCCAGGCATGAGGGAAGGCCACACATGCTCTGGAGATGAGGGTTTGGGGCACAGTCTTCACACAGGCTGGACTACATCCCAGGGAGGCTTCCTGCCTCTGGCACAATCACCGCCGTGTCAGTCACAAATGCCGAGCCCCCGCCAGGCCCCGACACTGCAGCACACGCGTGGCCCGTCGCAAAGGATACCACATTGCTGTCCCAGTGGGATCTGCTTCTCTGTGGAGCTCAGGGGTCCCTCAAGTACCCGCCTTAGCAGAGGGCAAGCCTTGAGACATGGATGCTTTGTCCGCAGGGTCCCACCGGCTTCAATACAGAGCCCCTCAGCGCTGCGGTGGGTCATGGCATCCCAGTCTCCTTTCTCGGTGCTCATGCCGCAGCCCTGACGTGAGGCTGGAACCCAGGTGTCAGTCCTGGGTCTGGCCATGACCTTGGAGAAACCACCCCTCGGACCTAGAGCCTTAGGCACACCACCGGTACCCACCGCCACCCTGCAGGAAGTGGAATAGGAGATATCTCCAGGGCTCTGGCAGCCCCCCTCCCGTGGGGGGGTGTCTGTGACTGTCCCCGGGACATCATCCTGAGAAACAGCACCCGCAGTGGACACTGGCCCAGGAGGCACGTGGCTCTCCATAGTCACGCACATCTGGCTTTACCAAATCAGTCCTTGGTGAAGGAAATAATGTATACATTGGTACTTCCAAGACAAAGTGCCTTGATTGGCTTAGGGCAGCAAACTACAGAAGAAACTGGATGTGCTAGGCCCCTGCCTGGATGGCCGCTGCCTGCTCATTGGCCTCCCCCACGTTTACCCCCAACCCTTAGTTGCCTTCTCCTAAACCAAAGAAGTTGAGTCTAAGATGAAAGTTTACTATTCTGCTGAATCGCTCGCTTTGTCTGTTCTTAACAGACTGCCCAGCCACTTAGGTCATAAGTCAAATACCTGAAGAGCCCCTGAGGAGACTAGGATTGCAATGCACTGTGGGCTGAAACAAAATGCAGCAGAACAACCCTAAAGAAAACACCTAAAGCCCCTACCCAACAACCAATAGGCAATGTCTGGAAAGATGGTGACCACCCTCCCCCGCCATAGTACCAGCCTATGAGGAAATGGGGGAGGGGCCTGCGCACTAGGGGATAAATAGCTTGTTGTGACCGTGCTGGGTGTGCCTGCCAATCAGACACCCAGTCTTGCAAGACTGTCATTAAAAGCCTCATTTTCGCTGTTCTACAGGTCTCTGAGTCCATTCTTTGGGTTTGGACAGATGAGTTTGTTTTCACATCTGCACAGGGGAGAGCCCAGTCCCCAGGTGCAATTCCCCACACATGTACTCACACACACTCATGCACACACACACTCATGCACACACACACACTCATGCACACGCATGCAGATGCAGCCCCGAGACAGCGCTGCCAGAGCCAGCCCCACCGAGCAGCCCTCCTC